ACGAATCCTGTGCCACAATCAGGGCCACGCCTACCTATTCCCGTGGTTTATAAAAAGGAGACCGCTGCCCCTTCTGTCTCTTTTTTGCGATACCTTCCTCCCTTCTCTCCATCTCATCATCTGACACCTTACACCTCAGACCATGTCCTCATCTCCTGACCTAATTAGTGGCAAGCTCATCGTCCACGTCCGGGTAAGCGGCGAATACCACGCATCGCGAGCGATAGCAGAACGCTAATTTGCGTAAACCACTGGACTACGTAAACGTAGATGAAAGCCAAGCCAGGTCGAGCGGACGAACTTGTGAATGCTCTGCTCAAGGTCAAGGCCAGCGTGGAGTCGGACGCTGAGCCCGGCGGCATCTCGTTCCGCCTCGCTCGCTTCGAGGAAGAAATCCTGATATTCGAAGAGTCCGTTCTCCTTGTTTTTTTGAGACTCTGCGGCCCTTAACACTGACACTTGATCACAACTCTGCTTACAATCAGATACGAGAGTGCAGCCGCTTTAGGCCCGTGAGTGACTGTTGACCTCACCACTCCGCTTGGCGCGCAAGCCCCGGTGATTGACTCTGCGGTTTTCTTCTCGACAGCCACTCTTCAACGGAAGTTTTCAACGAGCTACAGAAGATCGGCGCCGAATGTCGTGATGGGGTGAGCGAGTTACATTTCCGCCGTCCCGGAAATTCAGGAGTTTGTGGCTGACCAGATTGCCTTCGCCGCAATCTCAGGATCCACTAGTCCTGTTCTACTCTGAAGAAGTCAGTGCCTAGAGCAGACGCCCCTCCCAACTTGCAATCGTTTCTCGGAGCCTGACATCATAAAAATATGCTCCCATCGTTGCGTTCTAGGGATCTGGCTTCAAAGCTGGAGTTCCGGCGAGCAGGCTGTAGTTTTGGGCTCGGCTGTCCGGGTGTGTGTGTTTCAATGTATCAATAACAATTTCAATTTATGGTGGCTTAATTCTACGAAAGCAACGCTAACACAAGCAAGGCATGGAGTGAAAACGACATGAAGCGGGTTAATTGGGAGGGAGGGTGCTCCTTCGATTCATCTATCACAAGTGCGATTGGGGCACCCGGCCACGAGGTCCACTTTGTCTCGCCGTGGTCCGGCCTATCGCCCCCGTGCCACGAAGTGACGCCCAACACCCTTTCAAGTGACGCCGGCGAAAACGCGGGCCCTGGTTGTTGAGAAGGTCGAAACAAAAACTGATTCCGGTGGGCGTTTCTCGTTTAGGGCCGTCGTAATGGGGCGGCGATGACGATTCGTCCCCGGATATGACGACTTCTGAGGCGTTTTTTCAATGTACGTCACTCACTAGTAACGGAACGTCTTGGCACGAGGAAGCGGGGACTGAAAAACAAAGCTACCTCTGGTTGACGAAGTGGGGGGCGTGGGCTCCAAGGAACCGGCGCCATTAAAGCGGAATAGGTGAAGCTTGGTATACAGACTCGAGGGGAAAAGCGGACTATGCTTTATCCAGTGCTATATCCCAAGGGCGTCTAGGTAATGTCCGTTTGATGGAACGCTTTTGCTGGTTAATCTTATAGGTACGTTGGGACGTTCTAAGCCGTTCGGCCTCGGACTCCACCAGACGTTGGTATATATTGGCAAGTCCAACAACCCATTTTGGGGGGAAATTCGGGTGCTTGGGAGGCTCGGTTGCTTGGAGAGATCTATCAGCTGGTGCAATCCTTGGAATCCTCAGGGGAAGACCGTCGACCTGGAAACATCCGCAAGCAACCATCCCCAGCCCAAGCTAAATGGCAATGCCGCCACTTTATTCCTGAGGAAAATGCGGCGGGAGATAGGCTCCATTTGGGGGCGACCTGAACTAGGCTCGACTCTCTAATGGAGAACTTGTTGGATTTTGGGCGTGAAGCGCTGAAACAATGTGAGGCATGGACCCTAAACATATTCAAGAATGGCAACTCGACTTTGGTACAAAGCTTAGAACAATACCAAAGGAACATCTGCTTGGATCTATGCGAGAGGAACAACGTCATGAGTGGGCCGACGGCAAATGGCGCGCGCGTGGCGGTGCCGACGGCCCAACCACCCTCCGAAAGACCCCCCATATAAAAAGAGATCAACTATAGTAATAAAATAAACCTCCTGCGGGGGTCGAACCCGCGACCTCGTCCTGATCCTAGCTAGTGGATTCGATCCGCTGGCATGATAGGAAAGACACGCTCTAGCCACTGAGCCAAGGAGGCTTCTAAGTAGCAGATGTGGTGCATATTATATACCTCGCAAACCTTTTTCGAATTCCTGCCCTTCCCCGACCTCTCATGATATCTCTCTCGCTTCAAAATAGAAAGTCAGGGCTCTTGGTATGCACCTAATGGGGCTACAGAGAATAATTGTAGAGAGGGGGAAGCACTGCTGCTCGACTTGGAGGTGACGTCACCTCGTTCCTAGTCGCCACACTCATTTCACCACCCAATATGGATGAAAGCTCCTTGAATCAATACCAAATATAGCTACAGAAAAGTCTTACTGTGATCGCGATGCGCTGAGCCTTCGCCGTCCGATTTGCAGCAGCGTTGGAGACGAGTGGTACCCCGGTATGCGTGGGCCCTCAAACGATGTAAGCCAATCGTTCAATAGAACTTGAGATTAGGAATTTAAGAAGCCACAATAGACTACTCATAGCGGCTTGAGTACGGTTCCCTTCGAAGACGCTGACGTCCTCCAAATGAGATTGAATCCGAAAATTAATTGACAACTGCCCACCCCTCAAGCAAGGATTCAAAACCAGATTGTATGATTGGTACAAGTCGTAGCCAAAGAAGAGGCAAAAGGAAAGAAGAAGCTAATCGAGGTGGTACGTGGCGCTCGGTCCAGCGGACCGCTGTCGAGGCTTTGTACGTTGGGCTGGGGCGACCCACAAGTGGGAATCGACGGAGGTGCTCTCCTCAAACCCCTGGTGAGGTGATGCATCCACTAAACTAAGCTTCATTAGATAATGAAAGTGATATACAATCATTCATCTGTAGCCAAATTACATCCGGCGGGAAGCAAGAATTCTGAGCAGGAAGACAAAAGGTGGCGGCAAAAGAAAAAAAAAAAAGATTAAAACTTAAACGCCAACTGGCCACGACAACGATCCTCCCATTTCCTGCATTAGTCTCTCAATTTCTACTTTAAAACCCCCATTGTCTCCCCAATTCTCTTTGTCGCCACAAATTTTGAGCTTTTTGAGTGGTGCTGGCCGACTGACCTCCATATCGTCAGCTCCACTTGCTCGGATTTGCAGCATTTGCGAGAGGCTAGCGAGGCCACCCCGATCGCACCCCACGCTGAGGTTCTCCAAGCGAGGAAGAGGCCACTGGCGAAACTCGGCAATAGTCAAAATCGGGCTGGAGAGATACTGGAGTACTGAAGATCCTCCGTCGTCCGTGTCTGAGAGATCCAACTCTGTGACATTGGAAGATGATCCAACCGAGACCACTGAAACAAGATCCCTCGCACTGGGGCCTGGTAGCCTGGCATGCAAGGCCACTTCCATCTCGCTGTTTGGAATGCTATGGATCATCCAATGCGCTATTTCAACCCCGCGAGAGTCGGCGGAAAACCTGAGCTTGGCATTGAGAGCCCAAAGGTCGGCCGAAGATGTGGTAGCCACGATACTGATGCATTTACCCAACTTCGACGTCGAGCGAATAGTTGCAATAAAATGACCAACAGCTCTGCTAAGTGCTTCCGAAAGGTCCGAATGCCCCACTAGAGCGCCTTCCAGCGCTATTTCCTGGCAGATTGGAGCGCGAAGACAGCTTGATATGTCCACCACCCCAGAAAATACCCCTGTGTCAACAGAAAACCGCGTAACACGTGGAAGTATTATGGGGTCCTGGTATGGTATGCTGAGATCGCTGTCACCCGCTAGTGGTTGCAGACAAGTACCCTTGAAGTTAAATTCCTCCAACTCTGGCAGGGTTTGAAGAAATGCGGCGAGGCTCGGGAGAGATGGTCCGGAAACCCCTTGCGTGTCGATGTTCAGGATGCGCAGGCTCTTGAATTGGTCTTCATCACCCTTGGCAGGGATCCCGTAAAGGTCCAATTTCTGCAGCGGCAGGATGGCTCCTTGAAAAAGTTTAGGAGGAACTCCGTTATGCGCTTTTACCTGCAGTGTAAATGTCTCGAGAAGAGGCGCTTTCTGGGTGGCTAGAGCCTCTAAAAGACGCGCGGGCGTCCACCGCATCACGAGTCTCGCCCGCCTCCACCGATGTATGTGTGCACAAACTAGCCAAAGGGATTCCACCACCGACTTGGCAACTCGATGCGGCTTTACGAAGTCGTATTTTATATTCAGCGGGGCGTCTTTGGACTCGTGTATCGCCCGTTCAATGAGGCGAGGCGGATCGTCACCTGTGACTCGGCACCACAGCCTCGGGGTGCCCTTCACCACTTCTCGCCACGTCGAAGAGACGGTACCCAGCTCTTGCACGTGGGGCAAACAAGGGCCCGAGGTTTGGGTGGTGTAGTAAAGTATCATGGCGAGAAGTTCCGCTGGCAAATCCTGGATGCTGGTTCCGACTTTGTAATTCACTGGACGCTGGCGGGGTTGCTCGGCTTCTGTCCCGGTGACATCCATTCTACGCAGGCCAAGTCAGAATCAGACCCCGTACGTCCCCTATTACTGGGCAAAAACACGCACGTTCTCTCGAGTGATGGTTGGCTAGGACGTTGAGCGTTTCAACGTTTGCATTCGTACTAGTACGGTTCCGGTCACAAGCTCGGTCTCCGTCGCACTGCATCACGTGCCTCGTGCAAGTTTGCTGGAAAGTTCCATTACTCTCCCCAATGTACACCCTTGCCACACCGACTGTTGGTGGAGCGCGTCGAGTTCAGATCATCTCTATGAGACGGGGTCCAGACTGATTTCGATCTAGACACCGGCCGTGTTCGAATGTGTCTCGCCCGGAGCGTGTTGGACCCTGGTGTCAGCGGCTGTCTGAGCTCAAATATGAATCGTCACCGTCTTAGTGACAAGACATGCGTCGGTTGTTGGTGATTTTAGGGTTTGTGCCTCTGGTTCTTCACCCGCAATGTACCTTGAAAACTATCCGGTACAGGTCGTGGGTTCGACCTCCTTCTTTACCTTCCCCTTGAAATCCTTCCTGGATTGAGTAAAGTCACTTGCAGCTCTCTAAAAATAGTTACATGAACGGCTTAAAGGCCCGGTCGCTGATGATGCCTTAGTCTGGGTTTCCAAGCACTTGACAATGCAGAGGAGGTTGCTGGGGCAAATCTTGAGCAGCCTCGAATTCTTCGCGGGATCTCCCGGGTCCTCAGTTTAACGGCCTAATTCCTGCAGCAGTGGTAGCCTAGCTCCTTGAAAAGACTTGAATAGCAGCTACATCCCTGAGGTATACTGGCAGAGTCAACGTTTCAGGGTCCGACACTCACTAGTTGACGCTTTGAAAGCCCTCCCAAGACCTTCCTCACTAAGACTTCTCGCATACTTCCACCTTTGGATATGAGCCCAAACTGCACCAGGGAACTGTTTTAGCTCATAAATACCCTGATTACGTTTAATTGAAGAAGTCGTATTCTATCTCCAACAGAGCATTCTTCGATTCGCGCATCTCCGTTTCGACGACACGAGGGGTACCGTTGTCCGTGACTCGGTACCAAGCTTGC